GTTATTAAACCTGCCTGGAGACGTCTTGCTTGTCCAAGCCAGGGGGAACGAGTAGAAAGATGAATGAATGAACTACAGCTCCCAGTCATGAACGATCAGAGTGAACTTGACATTCACATTCAGACAGATATGTGGCAAAGCTAGTGGTAAAATGTATTTATATACTGTACGTAAGATTTAAGATCATGAAAGTGTTTGGTGATAGTTTTATGAAATTGTGCGCTCTCTTTACTATTAACAATATTACCAAAATAATAATGACTACTATCTTTTTTCGTTCAGTATATTTAGGAGATAAACCTACTGTGTGGGAAAATCAGAGGTATATAACGAAATTATAATAGCTCTAAATTTCATTTTAAAACCGAACGCGTAGCGTGAGGTTTTAAATGAACAATTTAGAGCTATTATAATTTCGTTATATACCTCTGATTTTCCAACACAGTAGGTTTATCTCCATTCTACCATGACAATTTTATGAACAATTTCAGGTGGAGCTCTTTCTTTGGTTACGAGTCAATACGTGAAGCGGCCTCGCATTCCAATCTCAAGTGGTATCGCCCGAAACAGGGTGTTTGGTGGCAAACCGTCAATGACTAACAAACTCCAGATTCAGTAATAACAAATCACGTTTTGTTTTTTCAATGCATCAATCACCAATCATTAACTGATAAGTTGGAAAACATATATCAAATAAGTTTCAAAAGCTTGGTTCACTTTTGAAAATTCCACCGTAGACCGTTTCCCCACCAGAATAGTGGCAGCAACCTCATGGCCTTGACCTTTTCTCGAAGTCATTGTTTACATTTGGAAAGATGCGACAGGAGAGCCACTGACAGTTTGCGCAAGGTTAACCTGATTGTATGACTGAGATAGTCTTTGATATCTAATTACTGGTACTGGTACAAAATTTAAGAGTAGGGGCGCTTTTGCTGTAACGAGAAGTCCGTGTTGTAGCGAATTTAGATACTGTTGAACTTTGCGCCCTGTCAACTTGACGATTTCACGCACCTCTACGTCTGCGTGCGACAGCTGTGGTGACTCTTACACACTCATGTGTGTACTTTGTGCTCAAATTCGATTCTACGGATATTATTTTCTACATTTTGGAAAGTGTTTTGTGACCTAGTGGCCTCAAAGTGTAGTGAATTCAAATTGAATCGGATTGGCTGGCATGTTCGCGAGTCTGTTGACAAAGAGCCAGATTTGTGGTGATATTTCCGAAAGGATGGATCAGGACACGAGGGTGCACCTCTGGCATAAACACGGTAAGGTAATTAATTATACTTTAATAGACTACTTTAGATCAAGCAGTGTAATGGCAAAGAGGGATCATGACTAAGCTAAATAACTTTTCAACGATATTATACATTTAGAAAAAAATATGTTGGGCTAAACAGAACGGTTTGCAGATTCTGTAGATCTAATTGTGTTTTACTACCGCTAAATTTGAAACAGTACAAATTTCAAAATATCATTTTGTTTGAATTGATAACCCAACTGTTTATTTATGTGGACGGAAGGCATTAGAATCTAAAATTTCTTGGGCGTTCGATGTTAATGCATCCTCCGTTACCGGATCAAGATCAGTGGCGATATCGTTGACGAAAGCTGATAATAAATTTAACACGGAAATTTTGTAGCAGTCTATTGCTGGATCTATTCTGACATAACATAGAATCAACGTAAACATATTTGTTTTGCTGAATTTTTATTCGGAAAGCAGACGATGTTTTGATCTTGTTCGACTGAATATTTGTTTCCATGCTTTCGAAGTACTTTTGTATGTATAAACACCTATTGCTGTGATTTACGCAAGTAGTGAGTCGTGCCCGTCATCGCTAAATCCATCTTTAAAGACATATGTGTAATTTCCGACGGTAAAATCGCCGTAATTTATCGATGCATCGGTAGGTTGTTCGGTGTCCGCCATGTTAGTGGGCAGACAAAAATAGTGCATTACCGTAAACCATGTATGATTGCGCACGGAAAACAGAGACCTGTATAACGTGATTATATACCTCTGAATGACTTTAATTAACCAATCACAATCCAGTGTTTACTGAAGTCATGGTAGAATGGTAATTATTCTACACATACACTATTTTCAAATGTTAGTTTGAGAACAATTTAGGTAAAAATGTAACAATCTTGTAGAACATAGACAGGCAGACAGATGGTATATTTAGTCTTACCTTATAAGATCAGATAGTACTTAATTGCCTGACCCATGAAGACCCGGGTGAGAATATTGATCATCAGTAACCCATGCTTGTCGTAAGAGGCGACTAACGGGATCGTGTGGTCAGGCTCGCTGGCTTGGTTGACACATGTTATCGGTTCCCAATTGTGCAGATCGATGTTCATGCTGATGATCACTGGATTGTCTGGTCCAGACTCGATTATTTACAGACCGCTGCCATTTCAGTGGAATATTGCCGAGTGTGCCGTAAAACTAAACTCGCTCACTGACTTGTTCATAGTTATATTGAACATAAATCCTCACGCAGGTTAACAGGAACTGTAACAAGATGTAAAAGAGTATACAACCTCGATAGCCTTGCGTATTAAAAATGTATAATTTAAGTTTGAAAAGTAACTTATGAATAAAAGTGCATGGTTTCTTTTGTTAGTGATAACATAATGTGAATAATGAACTTTGGACCTTTGTTGGTTTAGCCGAAGATGAAAACGGGTGAACGATTATCGAGCTGAGCAGAACAAGGGTGACTCGGTTATTCAAGGCACTTACTTGCTACCATGAAGTCTTTATACGGAAGTTATGTATAAGGAAGTATAATCACATTTATAGAGGCAATTGTCGATAATTTTATGAAAAACTGGCACACTGAATACAAGGAGAAAACGGTCGTGCACAACTTTAAGAAAAGGTGGGTAAAAGGTGGATAAAAGGGGGCAGAAGTGGGTAAAAGGGGGCAAAAGGTGGGAAACAATGTAGGTTGGTGATCCAAAGGTCAAATCATTTATGGCTTGGTAGCGTTTGTTTTAGGGTTTTTTCATCAAAAAATATCCATAAGTGTTATTTTCAATACATCTACATTTTCAGTTTGCTTTCAAAATGTAGGTCGCATCCCACAGTGAAAATGAGTGAAGGATTCTTAATGTGGCAGATATATTCCATAATTCCTGCAAATAACCAAGTCTTGGAGAACAAACACGAGGTTTATTGTATGGGAAACCATATGTAAAAAACATATCATCATCCCTAGAAGATACATTTAGGCAGTTCCACTCTGCGCACCCTCATCCCCAACTGTCTGAAAACTAACACAGGTTATGTTTGTACTGTTTGTGAGTGAGTGAGTGAGTGAGTGAGTTTAGCTTTACGCCACACTCCGCAATATCCCAGCTATATGGCGGGGGTCTGTAAATAATCAAGTCTGGACCAGACAATCCAGTGATCAACAGCATGAGCATCGATCTGCGCAATTGGGAACCGATGACATGTGTCAACGAAGTCACCACCCGATCCCGTTAGTCGCCTCTTACGACAAGCATAGTCGCCTTTTATGGCAAGCTCATGGGTTGCTGAAGACCTATTCTATCCCAGATCTTCACGGGTCTACTGTTTGTGATATTATCTTATTTCTCTCGAGCACCAAGGTCGATGACGTTGCGCTTAAAATAGGTTGAGAAATAGGTCGATCATTCGCAGTATGTGTGAACGCGAAATGCTGATATACAGTTTCTCTCTACTAGGAACAACCCCGACGATTTTTTCTGGATTACTTATCTTGGTACATGCAGTAGTAGTGGGAAGGGGGCGCCATTACAAGGAAACCTAGACAGAGGAAAGCATTTATGTAGCCTATACACGTTGTACCCGGAAGTGCGCCATGCTTTTATTCTGTTACACATTACAAGAAATCCTCAACAATTAAATCATCTATGTATCCTTCCGCGTTGTACCCGGAAGTGCCACCACATTGTTATATTTATTTGTAATGTTAACGTTGTTTTATTTGTCTATAGAAATTTAAAAGGTAGAGAATTGTTTAAAAATTGGTTTTAACTGCATGTAATTTTACATTGATATTTGTGTGAGGTGCTAAATGCAACTTCTTGGAGAACCGTCCACGGATTTGTGAAATTCTTATTTGCCCATCTCAAAGCTGTTATTGCGGTGGGGTAGCCTAGTGGTCAAAGTGTTCGCTCGTCCGCCGAAGACCCAGGTTCGATTCCTATGATTTCGTGATATGCTGGAATATTGGTAAAAGCGGCGTAAAACCATACTCACTCACTCTGTATTATTATGGTAAATGCTAATTTCGAGATAAAGAGATACAAGATACTATTAAAGTAAAGTTCGAAATAATTGGTCATATCTATTCTTCAGTGAGGCTGTTGGGACCGGAATATGTTCGAGATAACGTGTTACGGAGTTTGACTTTGAGTGGTTGTCTTCCGACTTTCGTAAGCGTGTTAGAGCTCGGACAGTATCGCAATCAGTGGAGTGGTATATAAATCTACCCATGTAATCATTAAAATGTGTCCGACATCATCAACTACACGCAATTATATCCGAAAGTGCATTTTATGAAAGGCGATATTAATGAGTAAGTGTATGTGGTTTTACGCCGCATTTAGCAATATTCCAGCAATATCACGGCAGGGGACACGAGAAATGGGCTTCACCCATTGTACCCATGTGGGGAATCGAACCAGGGTCTTCGGTTCGGCGAGCGAATGCTTTAACCACTAGGCTATCCCACCGCCCCAAATGCCACTGAATATGTAACAAGTAGTAAGTCTATGACGTCCAAATGAACAGGGTGTGGGGTGGGGTGTGTGTTTGTGTGTTATTTTTGGCATTTTTAACTTAACTATCAAGTATAAACTGATCGAATTACTTCTCGAGAAGGTATAAATATAATCAGGGTATTTTGGTTGCGTCATAGGTGGTCACGTGAATCGTTTCAATCAACGCTATTGGCTGTGTACACATAAGGCGGAACAAGTCTGTGGATGATCTGTCATTGATTGTCATGTCACCGGAGAGAGGGGACCCTCTAACTGTCGGCACGTAACAGGTAGTTATAGATCAGGGCCTCCTTTCACAAAGCACTAAGGTGATCGTAAGTCACTAAGGTGACCTTAGTGCAGTGTTAAAGAATGGGAGTTAAGGTTAACCTTAGTAAAGGTTGCTTCGTGAAAAGAGCCCCAGGAGAATAGAGTATGAAGGCTCCATAACCGTATGTACCATTTACCATGTTGAGTCCCTCGACGAGGATGATTATTAGAATAATGTCCGGTCTTTAACTGATGTTTCTATTTTTAGTATTTCTTTCAGTAAGTTTATAATCATATTCATTATTATTGTCTTACAAAGTAACATTATCATTATGATTGTACATTTTAATTGCTTCAGTAAATCGTGCCTGTCGAAGGCAACTGAAGGCATCGGGTGATGAGATTAGCTGTCATCGTATCTTAACTGCGTATCGCGATCGATGTTCATGATGTCACTCACTGGTTTGTCTGGTCCAGACTTGAATATGTCATATCGTCATATCAGTGGAATATATTGCAGAGTTTGGCGTTGAGCAGACTCTTTAGTGTATTGTTTCAGTTTGTGGTTGTTGTTATTTTTATTCATTAATAACGATTTCGTTACATTTTATATTTTAGGCGAGTTTGGATCCAAGAGAAGGTCACTAAGACACTCCGTTGATCTCATCCAGTCGTGACTCAATCAAGCTGTTAAAGTAGAATGGAGGAACATAATTTTTCTGAGGAGAGTTTCGAAAGAATTCGGAATAACCTTATCGCTCAAGTGTGCCAGAACAAGGAAATAGCATCCGAAATAGAACTCCATGTGGCCCAGATTGGTGTGAGAAAACGGTACTCGTCTGCGAAAAACGACGCGGAGGGTGTCGGACCGGGTTCGAACCCCGAGGCCAACCCTCACACCAAGACCGAGTTGCTGGAGCGGTTAGTCCGGGAGGTGAAAGACTCTTTGGACCAAATATTATTGGCTGTTACCAAAGCTGAGAATGTGACAGGTTCCAGAGACTCGGGTAGGTTTCACATCACCTTACTATAGATATTAGTGTGTGTGTGTGTGTGCGTGCGTGCGTGCGTGCGTGTGTGAGTGCGTGCGTGCGTGCGTGCGTGCGTGCGTGTGTATTGTTGAGTTTTGTTCCTACAGCCCATTATTTTTCACAAATGTGTGTTAACATTGATAGTAATACCCTTTAATTTTCATTATTTTCCTTGAGTTCAATACTTTTCAGCCCTTTCACTTTTTAAAAGTTTCTTGCTATTTCGATCACTCACCTTGTCCAAACGATGGTGTCCTAGAAAACGTTGACGCTACACTATATTATTGCCAGAAATGAGGTTTCAATACGATAAATGATACGTGCACTCGTGAAAACGTGATATCGGTCGAAACAAGCATAACATGTTTCCATTAAAGATGAAGTGACTTAAACGAAACACGTAATCTATCAATGTAAAATAGTTTTAAAAAATTGAATTTCACCCCAATACCATCTTAAATGTGCTTTTCATTCGTAATTTCCTATGTATGATGTGGTATTGTGATACATGACCATAAAATACGATGACTTAAACTTGTTTAATCATTACCGTTTTAAAATTTACTAAATTAAGGCTTTTTATTGCCATTGGACAAACGTTGTATTTCGTCTAAAACTAGGACATGTTAAATACATTTTTGCTGTAAAATTTGAAACACTTTTTGCAGAAAACAATGTCACAGCTACTGATAATAAATTTAACGAAATTCTTCAATGGTGTGAAGAAATTTCCGCTGAAATGGAGCATAGTTTGATCTTTTATGGCACTTCAAACACTAACACTGCTTGTTGAAGCTCACCCTGTGACGGAGAACCGAGTCAGAATTCGCATCCAATGTTTATTCTATGAAAGGCCGTAGGCCCATATACATTAAAGTAGATATGGTACACTATAGGATGATTTTAACAAAAGATTCACATTTAATTTCAATCCGTTTCTGGTCTTGAATACAGACTGGAAGTATAGAATAACAGCTTTTAAATATTAATAGTTTGTAGTTTGTGGTTGCCATCGGCGAATGAATGGTTGTATCGAATTGAATATTTATTTGGTATGTACTGTTTTCGAATGTTCTTTAAGGATGGACATATAATGGTGAAATGGTACAGATTTTCGATATTGTTTAAATTTGACGTAAAGGTCACATGCAACCCCCCAAAAACATAATTAAGATATAATTATCACTTATTCATGACATATAATATACATTGCTGATTATGAAAAAACAAATAAACAAAATTATAAGCGTACAATCGCAAATCAAAAGTGCAATATTTTGTACTTGGTTTCTTCCCTCGAAACGAAGCAGCCGGGATACCGAACCCAGTCAGAGCGGGTGGTCGCGCACTTAAGTGTAACGAAGGCTTTCATTGGCTGGTTCGTTTACCGATACACTCAGAACTCTTTGTGTGTATATAGAGATGTTGGGTTTTGTAAATACATGTTCATTTTTGTGTATAACATTTTGCAATTAACAGACACCAACATGTCATGTGTACAAGTATCAAACCTGCCTGTCTGCGTAAGTACATTATGTGACAGAGACAGAACTCGGGTGCGCGAGCCATTAATCAATGCGTTTTGTTTATGGTGTATAGCCTGATAGGTGTTAAGTTCAAATTGCATGTGGTCAGTGATCGAAGTTGTGTATTGCATATTGTCTATAGGTGTCCATAAAACAGACATTGAGTTTTGTCTGTGACAGAAGCATATCTATATCACAGTTAGAAATTCTGACAATGTTAAAATATGGTGTGGCTTTTAAGTATCGACTGAGAAAGTGACTCCTTAAGAAGAACGTGTGGTGAAATATACAAATGAAATGATATAAACAGTTAAACTGATAATCTACTGTCATAACATATAAAAGCTCACGCCTGTAAAATATCAACAAAATCAAAATATTAGAAAAAATAGCTCACATCAAAGCCTACTCCGAGTACTCACCGCCAGCGAAAGCTTTCCGTCTTGAAATGTCGAACGCTTCACTGGTTGACACATAGCTGAGTAGATTTAGATCCTTAACAGGTTCTTTTATGTAACCAGAGAACATGTAATATATTATATGATGTAACGAGTAGATTATTTACTATTTGTTATTTGTGTACACAACCAAGATTAGACTACTCCTGCTCACGACCTTATAATCCGGGAATCCCCGCTTCAAGCTGCGCGAACCTATTCACTGCACATGCGCCATAAGCACATGTGCGCAGAGCAGCGCAGCACAGCTGTTGAAACCACTTTTCACCCAGCTGGGGTGAATGTAGTAAATCGTTTGAGCTCCGATTTCGCGGGGCTTTTTTCATCGCGTTATTTTTCAACTTTATAAGTTTAATTTGCATTTTTGATAATTTGTTACTGTAAGTCCATTCCGAAAGGTATCAGAATCTGCAAGGTTGTGTTTTAAGTTCATGTGATCTTTAAATCAATGTTTAGCCTTGAACATCCAACTCGAACACGAGCGAAGTTGGTTGCAAATGTACACAAAGAGAAATCTTTCTCTGCTTCAAAGCTAATCTTAAAACTTGCATACCATTCATATCTAATGCTAGATTCTAATATATTTGTTCATTCTTGGGTGTACATATCTTTTAATTTGGTTTGAAAATGTTAAGAAAGCTAGCTATACATCCAACACCTTGGTAGACCCAAACATAACCAAGACCTGAACTAAATAAAATATGTCTACCATTACTTGTCCAATTCTACCTACCTACTGAATCAATATTAACTAACATTTCGCAAGTCATACTCGGGAGTCGTGGGGTGACATGTCAGGTAGTGCCTTTAATGCACTTCGCCAGACTATATATAAACAATTAATGGGTATCGTCCATTATTCTTCTCCGAGAGCCACTGCATTAGGATTGTGAATGCCTATAGCAAGATAATGTTTTCATACATATATACTCATATGTTTCAGCAATATCCTCCAATAGTTATCGATCCAGCGCCAGTGGAGGTAAGTCTTAAACTACGTCTGTCGTATACCACGTATACCAGGCAACTCTCACGTAGATTCTCATTCTGTCCCATAAATTCTCTTTACACTGCAGTAAGTATACATAAGGAATAAGACCCGTGAAGATCCGGATTAGAATTGGCCTGAAGCAAGCCATGCTTGTCATGCTTGACTTACTGACTTGGTTGATGCATGTCATCGTATCCGATTTGTGTAAATCGATACTAATTTTTACTATCACAGGGTTGTCTGGTCCAGACTCGATTATTTACAGACCGCCGCAATACAGCCTGAAAATTTCAACAAACAAACAAACAAACAAACAAACAGACAAACCATAAGAAATAGCATAAATTAATTTAGACAATCTACTTTGATGCTGGACGTCTCATTGTGAAACTTAAGCAACGAAGATAAGCCTGGGTTGTGCCATTACTGCCTGCATTCGAGAATGACTGCATCCTTTTTGTGTTAAACTTTGATTTTGTTATTCTCTTCTGATCAAACGAATTCTCTCACACATATCTTTTTCCTTGATACAAATTGTCAACAATATTTTTGTTTGTGGTGATAAGAAATAATATTATGGTCCTGAAAAAATCACGTTTGAGTAAGTGTTTTTTTAGGTATTGTTGATACTGTATTACAGCTTTAAAGTAATATTTCCTTGTTTTGTAGGCGCACTGCACTTAGCGGAAGTGCTGCCTGAACAAGACCACGAGCCCCACGATCCGCCGGTAAGGGATTTGATCTACAGATCTCCAGGCTCTGTTTAGCCTCTGTTTAGACTGGGCTCCCGTAGTAGTTTGTCGACGACACTAAACATTCATTGGTTATCGGTATCGAATGGCAACCCATATTGGACAAAATTAAGTAGAAATGTTTCTGTCATACACTGAAAGAGAGTTTCTTGGAATTAACTTCTTTCGAAGCCTGCTTTCGTAATCAATAATCCGCTGCATGTTACGCATACGCACCAATAACTGGATATGGTACTGATTTGAACCATGTTTTGGGCCGCAGCCCTTTGTTTCAACGCTTTCTGTTTGCGTCGCGTACTATTGGAAGCAGTTTAGTGCCCATTCATGTGATTTGATACAAGGCCAGAGAGAAGATGCATCGAGATAGATCCAGGAGATGCATCCGGAATGAGTAGCCTCGACTCAAGCCTGGTCCTTGTTCTAACATGTGCCCCTCACACTGACAGTCAAGTCTGGTCCTTGTTCTAACATGTGCCCCTCACACTGACAGTCAAGTCTGGTCCTTGTTCTAACATGTGCCCCTCACACTGACAGTCAAGTCTGGTCCTAGTTCTAACATGTGCCCCTCACACTGACAGTCAAGTCTGGTCCTTGTTCTAACATGTGCCCCTCACACTGACAGTCAAGTCTGGTCCTTGTTCTAACATGTGCCCCTCACACTGACAGTCAAGCCTGGTCCTTGTTCTAACATGTGCCCTCACACTGACAGTCAAGTATGGTCCTTGTTCTAACATGTGCCCCTCACACTGACAGTCAAGTCTGGTCCTTGTTCTATCATGTGCCCCTCTCACTGACAGTCAAGTCTGGTCCTTGTTCTAACATGTGCCCCTCACACTGACAGTCAAGTCTGGTCCTTGTTCTAACATGTGCCCCTCTCACACTGACAGTCAAGTCTGGTCCTTGTTCTAACATGTGCCCTCACACTGACAGTCAAGTCTGGTCCTTGTTCTAACATGTGCCCCTCTCACTGACAGTCAAGTCTGGTCCTTGTTCTAACATGTGCCCCTCACACTGGCAGCCAAGTCTGGTCCTTGATCTAACATGTGCCCCTCACACTGACAGTCAAGTCTGGTCCTTGTTCTAACATGTGCCCCTCACACTGACAGTCAAGTCTGGTCCTTGTTCTAACATGTGCCCCTCACACTGACAGTCAAGTCTGGTCCTTGTTCTAATATGTGCCCCTCACACTGACAGTTAAGTCTGGTCCTTGTTCTATCATGTGTCCCTCTCACTGACAGTCAAGTCTGGTCCTTGTTCTAACATGTGTACATCACAATGACAGTCAAGTCTGGTCCTTGTTCTAACATGTGCCCCCTCACACTGACAGTCAAGTCTGGTCCTTGTTCTAACATGTGCCCCTCACACTGACAGTCAAGTCTGGTCCTTGTTCTAACATGTGCCCCTCACACTGACAGTCAAGTCTGGTCCTTGTTCTAACATGTGCCCCTCACACTGACAGTCAAGTCTGGTCCTTGTTCTAACATGTGCCCCTCTCACTGACAGTGACAAGTCTGGTCCTTGTTCTAACATGTGCCCCTCACACTGACAGTCAAGTCTGGTCCTTGTTCTAACATGTGCCCCTCTCACTGACAGTCAAGTCTGGTCCTTGTTCTAACATGTGCCCCTCACACTGACAGTCAAGTATGGTCCTTGTTCTAACATGTGCCCCTCACACTGACAGTCAAGTCTGGTCCTTGTTCTATCATGTGCCCTCACACTGACAGTCAAGTCTGGTCCTTGTTCTAACATGTGCCCCTCACACTGACAGTCAAGTCTGGTCCTTGTTCTAACATGTGCCCCTCACACTGACAGTCAAGTCTGGTCCTTGTTCTAACATGTGCCCCTCACACTGACAGTCAAGTCTGGTCCTTGTTCTAACATGTGCTCCTCACACTGAGAGTCAAGTCTGGTCCTTGTTCTATCATGTGCCCCTCACACTGACAGTCAAGTATGGTCCTTGTTCTAACATGTGCCCCTCACACTGACAGTCAAGTCTGGTCCTTGTTCTATCATGTGCCCCTCACACTGACAGTCAAGTCTGGTCCTTGTTCTAACATGTGCTCCTCACACTGACAGTCAAGTCTGGTCCTTGTTCTATCATGTGCCCTCACACTGACAGTCAAGTATGGTCCTTGTTCTAACATGTGCCCCTCACACTGACAGTCAAGTCTGGTCCTTGTTCTATCATGTGCCCCTCACATTGACAGTCAAGTATGGTCCTTGTTCTATCATGTGCCCCTCACACTGACAGTCAAGTATGGTCCTTGTTCTAACATGTGCCCCTCACACTGACAGTCAAGTATGGTCCTTGTTCTAACATGTGCCCCTCACACTGACAGTCAAGTCTGGTCCTTGTTCTAACATGTGCCCCTCTCACTGACAGTCAAGTCTGGTCCTTGTTCTAACATGTGCCCCTCTCACTGACAGTCAAATCTGGTCCAAGACAAGGAGCTGTTGGAGAGAGTGGATGCGGCAGTTCAGAGAAACAGGAGGGCGCTACGAGAAACACAGCACCAGAGACTGCATGTACCGGCCGAACATGATGATGAAGAACAGACCGAGGTAAAAGAGAATCTGGACTGCGATCGGCCATGATATGACAGTACTGTTTTCAACTTGATGAGTGCTTATCGTACATCACTTGTGCCCCAATCACAGTATCAGTTAAACATGACCTTGTACATACTTATTTCCATGTGGTCACTTTCAACACTGTGCTCGTTGAAAATAACGTCATACTGTATTCACGTTTGAAATTCAACTTGATAAGGGGTGGTGGGGTAGCCCAGAGGTTAAAGCTTACGCTAGTCCTGGGTTCGATTCACCAAATGGGCACAATGTGGGAAGCCCACTTCTGATAACCCCCGCCATAATATTGCTGGAATATTGCTAAAGCGGCGTAAAACAAAACTCACTCACACAACTTCAGAAAGTCATGAAGGTAGGGAAAATGCTTCAAGATGTTTATAAAGAGTTACTTTAGGTCCTCAGCCTCTCAATACGATTTGCATTATTGCAAAGATAATACTCTTAAGTTTAGACAATAACCTTCCAATCATGACTCTGCGTCATATCGTTAAGCCGCAAGTGTTCATAAGATGCTTTCACGCCAAGGACCCGGGTTCGAATCCCCACAAGGGTACAATGTGTAAAAGCCCATTTCTGGTGTTCCCCGCCGTGATGTTGCTGGAATATTGCTAAAAGCGGCGTAAAACCAAAACTCAGTCAGTCAGTCATAAGATGCCTAACACTTGTCAACCTTATGATTGTTTTTGTAGTGACGTCACCGTGCTCTTTAAGGTTATGTCATTTTGTTGTAAAATCTGTTTGTAAGAACGCTTTTAGTGGCTCATTCTACACAGAAACATCATCATTGACCATGTATTAAAGCCCCAACATCTGTGTTTATATACATTTATCATTCCTGTAAATATCCCATTCTTTGAAAAGAGAAATATGATTGAAGTTATCATGAGATTGTATATATCTTATATTGTATATAGTGCCTCACAGCACTCTTGGTCAAAACTTGACCGATCTCGGTTAAAACATGTGTGGCCTTTTGTACAGTTTTCAAACGGTTTGATGGTAGACCTATGAAGACATTTGTAAATTTGACATGAAAGCATGAAACTTGACTTGACTTTGCATGTGTTTGTGATGGGTGTCATCATGATATTCTCACCTTATCGTGACTGATCACCTGACTCATCACTCCTCGATACTTAGTCATAGCATATGCTTTTCATGCAGTCGAAATCGTATATATAACTGACTCGGCTTCTTCTCAAATATATCCTTGTGTTATGAAAATCATACCATGCACTCTGTTTTCCGTATAGATTCCATAGGATTAAGGAAATGATTTTGTGTCTCTTATTTCAATTTGCAAGCCAGGTGAAACTATCCTCCTAGGCCAGTTACTCCCCTTGCTGTGACAAACTCGATCTGTCGTAAACAGCTATGGGGGTACTATACCAACAGATTCTTGTAGCAATATATTTTACCTTTTGTGACTTAAATCTCTTGACCAATTTTAGAATATGTCCCAGCTGCGTCCCAGTTAGACAATGGATTTCAGTTTCACATATTAGACATATAAATATTATATTTTTTTTCTTGGCGTTTCTCCACATTCCCGATAGTTAATTCTGACCAATACAATCGCCGACTAACAAGTTCGACTCCATGTCTCTTTTGAAACACTGAAAGGAGTACCCATCCGATCGTTCATATCTGTATCTTTATACATATATGACATTTTATATATGTTGGTTATCCTGTCGAGAGGCATATCTAAACATATGCTTTTCACCCAGTATTATCATCCCTCTGTGGGACTGACCTAACCAGAAACCCGGTATTTTGTACAAACCTATTTTAAAATGTTTATGCAATGAATATGAGTTTGGTGCTGTCTATTGGATGTAGGGTTGATGTTTTGATGCCACTCAATAGAGGTCACATAAAACATTCCATTTTATTTTTATCTTGCATCAGTTAATCTATCATGCCCAACATGTGTTCTAACGCCATGACGGGGTTTCGAGCTGGACCAGTCAATGCAGTGCTTGACATTATGAGCACCTGTCTACAAAGTAGAATACGATAAAATATATGTCAGCTATTCCGACCATCCAATCCAGTAAGGTTTACGACAAACATGGGTCGCAGGAGATCATTCTTGCACAAATATTAGAGTATATATTTTGAGTATATATTTACGTTGTTTGCGATTGTATGATTTTGTGATTATTGTTGGTGATAGGTAAGGAAAGTACCATGAGCTTTCACCGATTTTTTCTTTTGCTGTTTACCAAAAAGAATATTAAGGTGATGATGATATACCTCTGTTTCTATATTATTCTATGTTATTGTTTAATAAAAAAAGTCTGTCTGAAGCAAATATATCCTCTCGTGTTGTTGTTTCTATGGCGACGTTCCGGAAGTGTCGACTATGGGTCCAAGTAAATACCTGGCTGTGTTAAGACATACAGCTAGGTTATATATGTTACAGGGAATGTGTGAAACCAGGGATTTCACGTAATTCCTAACAGAGTCAGTGATTTCGTGAAATCATTGAGACCCCCAGGGATTTCATGTATTCCCTAAAATTTTAAGGGATTTCAGGAAATTAATGAAATATTGGCTCAGGGATTTCATGAAACCCCTGCCAGCCTTTATTGGAATAGAGAACACTACATTTATAATGCGAGTACTGATTATATGCTGCTAAGATTTGTTTATTTTACAAGATGATATTTTTACTGTTATGACACTGGCTATTACACTTCAGTCCCGTTTTAAAACATTTACAACATCTCGATTTACATTGGTAAGGACCACAGTTACATTTCTAACTACTCTCGTTCCTCGTTCCTTTGACGAATAACATTGTTTGTCTGGCATGATATTCCAGGTACATGAAGAAAGCATTATCAAGAACAAATCAGACAGGCATTGGAAAAGGGAAACGTGATAAGATTACACAAGATAACCTCCTTAGTTGACATTACAGATTGCGCTGCTTGGTGCTGGAACTACCGCTTGCTGACTTCAAATCTTCCACGATGTTGTAGTACACGTCTCTGGGAATGAAATACTTCTTACTGATATAGTATTTATCAAACAGAAGTCTCTTGAGCTGTTGTTCTACGCTCTTAGTTTAAAGAACCACTAAACTTTGTTTTTGTTACTCTTTAACCATTACATATGAAAGATTTGTGGTTAGTCTTATGCGGAACACCAAATTTATTCTTTAAAAACTTGTGGTTAATTAATACCGAGCGATTAAAAGTGGCCAAAAAGTCGCCTGTCTCCCTCTCGCCCGCCAACGAAACCACAGACAGGTTACGTAACTCTGTCGCCAGAGCACTGCAGTGACGTCATATGAGGAACGATTTTCAGTTAGTTGTATAGAAAATGTGTAGCACGCTCATCATTTTGATGATTTTCGACATCAACGACGACATGCCGAATCGTTGCTTTCTCGTGAATTGCTCCTAGGGTCGGGCGATGGTGTCCCCATGCACAGATTTCCACAGGACCCCACAGTTCGTGCTAAATGGGTTATGTTTGTGAGTGCGAAGCGAGCGTTGTGGAAGCCTGAAACGATATCTTACTTGTGTTCAGATCGCTTCACGGAAGTTAAAGAATCAAAACTACTTACTAATTCTAGTAAAATATGCATATGATTGATGACCATAAAGATTTTCTATGACACAACTTGTAACATAACGATTTCTTCCTCGGAAGTGAGTTTGTGGTCGAAGTAACAATAATATTGTAAGTAGTATTATATTCACACCCACCTCGCTGCCACGAGAGAAATTGTTATGTTATACGTTATGTCATGCAAAACCTATTGGCTATCAATAAAATACATATTTTATTAATAGTAGAAAGTAGTTTTGATTTTAGAACTCGGTGAAAACAAACCTAAATACCATTTATCCCTCAGACTGGCGGATGTTCCCGACAGGGCGCCGCCATTTTAAAAAATAAAAAATCTGTTAGAATTAATGAGATTATAGTTTGTTTTCATCAAGTTAGAAAATCAAAACTACTTTCTACTCGTAGTTAAATATGTATTGAATCATAACCAAACGGATTTTGCATGACACAACTTATAACATAACGATTTCTTCCACGGAAGCGAGGTGGGGGTCGAAGTCACAATACTGCGCGACAAATTCCTTCTACATTCCCATGGTTAATGTCCATCACCAGTATGTAGATACTAGTTAATGTGCGTCTGTATATTTGGTCTTATAATCCTAATTAGTTTATTATCATACTTGTATGCATTTTGAAACTAAATAAAAAGCAGACGATCTGCTGATACTTATAGTGAATTTATAACGGAACTGTAATATCTAGACATTTGATAGTTTGCCAATGTGAATCATAATTCGCACACACACCCTAGTGCATGTTATCTGTCTCATTACACTTCACGGCGAAAACAATGATTCTGTTGAATGCTACGACAAATGAATAAAAACAAAATGCAAATATTAAAATTAAAACAGATTAAAGTTATAGGAACAATATCAGGCCATTACCTTGTTCGAGGAATGTATCCATCAATATCCACAAAACTGTTCCAAATGATGTGTCTTTTAACAGTTTAATATACGAAAAAGTGATAAATCTTTTCAGGTATTGGTGTATAGTCTCATTGGTCACCCAAGATAGCACACCTGGCAACTAATTGCATAATGTCCGCCTTTCTTTAAAAACAGTAATTTAGTTAGCCAATAATTGGCAATCAATCAATGTATTGCCGGTTAATCCTTTGAAAGAAGGACGTTGTTTTTACGCAGACACCGACACGACAGAGTGTATTCAGTATAGATTAGTAAATCTACATACATAAACACTACCTTTGACAATTCCGCTGTGTAAGATAAAAGTAATTAATCAATCAGCATGTTATCGGTTAATCCTTTGATCGATGTTTATAATGTTGAATATTTACTCCAGACACAAGAAATGCCAAATGGGAACCTTTGTCGGGTAATCTAAGTGTGTTACCAATAATTATACCTGTTATAAATTCATTAACTGACCATCAAGTGAATGATGACAAATAACATGTGTAGGTTTATACCACCTAACACAGGTAACAACAAGGGAGTATTAATTGCTGTATTGCATGTGAAAACTTATGGGCCGACACTGTTTTGAGAATACAAACAGATTTTTACATGACATGATTAATTATCGAGGTAAAATGGGATCAATTTGGATCAGTCATTATACAAATAGGGCCTAACGACACCAATCGATTTTGACAGAATCGTCTATGAAAACAAGTTGTAACTCGGAAACTAGGCAAAGCAGGAGACAAAATTAAATGACAGTAGATTGTGAGAACATATAGCTTTAATTTTCCACAACAATTGTCACGATTTCAGGTTTATACAAGCCTGTAAACAAGATAATTTAACCCCTAAAATGTAGATGAATTCTGCATCGGCCCCCAAAGCTATTCCTCATATGACGTCACAGATGCGCGCCGCTCTGATTGGTTGAAATTTCGTTCGCGGGTTAGAATTGTGCACTGTTGTCAAAAAGGTCGATTTAAGTCAATTAAAGGTCGAAATGAGTAGTTTTAATGACGGGGTTTCATTTATAACGATGCCAGTTAGTGATTTATGTATTTGTACCCCCTAGGGTTTATGTGACCTTTAACATGTTTTGATATGTACGGTTTAATGAGATGAGATTACGATATTATTGCCTATCCTGGGTGTCATCGTGAACATTTTAACGACATCAACAACATCGTGCCCAACATCAGATGTCTTTGTCGCTGTTGAAGTTTTCATTTGATCGCACAAATAAAATGAATATGTCATCACGTATCTTTCAAGGTCTAACCAAAGAACAACACGGTGGTGAGAGGTGAGTGAATGCTGTTTTGTGCCGTAGTCTGCACCACCCCAGCTCTTTTAAAGCACGCGGGGGAATGGGGTGTCGTTGTTGTTGTTGGTGATGGTGGTGGTGCGTGCGTGTGTGTGCGCGTGCGTGCGTGCGTGCGTTTGTTCGTAGGGGGTGTGAGGAATCAAAGCCGTACAAACCACAACGAAGCTATCTCACTGCCTCGTGGTATGTAAACACAGTGCCTCTGGGCCAGGCAAACCGGAGGGGCGGTAGTTATAGCACGACCACCAGTCCATGCTGACGGGTGGTTGGGTAGGGGGTGGATCGGTTGTTTGCGCACTGGTTGAGTACAGATTGACAGGTTCTGACTAAGATGATGACCGTGAACATCACACTACCCCCCCCCCCCCTTCTCTCTCTCTCTCCCCTCTCTCACACACACTACACACACACGCATACACACGACTGCGACGTACATATGCACTTCAGAAAACAATAAGGGAAACCTGTAGTCTACGACATGTTACAGAATTGTTTGGGGATTGAAGGAGGGTAGTGTACTGCTCATGCTCATCTCTATAGTCCGTGTTCGAGTCCCAGCATCAAAAGCC